TCATTCTTCTACAAAACCACATTTATGCGATTCACACTTATGCCTCATATATTCTATAAGTACCCAGTGAGTTCTCCTTTTTCTTCTACACATTGTGAAACCATATCTATGCAGATTCTACATTATTATCATCATCATCATGTACCATGCTGATAAGTATAGGCTGTCATGTTTCGCTATCTAAAGTGATCACCAGAATCATGGATCCAGTCAATGTTCTTCTCCTGCATTAGTCTTATGATTAAGCCATCAGGTATTTATTTATTTGCCTTCCCCTTGCTTCCCTCACCCCCATCAATCTTGCCATTCGTCACTATTTTTGATTCCCTTCCTTCTCATAACATGACCAAAAAACATAGACTCTATAATCAGTTTCAGGTTTTCATCTATCTTTAGGAAGAATGCTTTGAGTGGTGTTCTATCATTCCAAGCTTTAAATAATTTCTAACTACTCTACTGACTGCCTCTGGTGGTGTTCTATCATGCCAAGCTTCGACATAATTTCTCACTAATCTACTGACTGCCTCTGGTATTGTTCTATCATTCCAAGCTTTACATAATTTATCACTACTCTACTGATTGCCTCTGGTGGTGTTCTATCATTCCAAGCTTTACATAATTTATCACTACTCTACTGATTGCCTCTGGTATTGTTCTATCATTCCTAGCTTTACATAATTTCTCACTAATCTACTGAATGCCTCTGGTGGTGTTCTATCATTCCAAGCTTTGACATAATTTATCACTACTCCACTGATTGTCTCTGGTGGTGTTCTATCATTCCAAGCTTTGACATAATTTATCACTACTCTACTGATTGTCTCTGGTGGTGTTCTATCATTCCAAGCTTTACATAATTTCTCACTAACCTACTGAATGCCTCTGGTGGTGTTCTATCATTCCAAGCTTTGACATAATTTATCACTACTCTACTGATTGTCTCTGGTGGTGTTCTATCATTCCAAGCTTTACATAATTTCTCACTACTCTACTGATTGCCTCTGGTATTGTTCTATCATTTCTAGCTTTACATAATTTCTCACTAATCTACTGAATGCCTCTGGTGGTGTTCTATCATTCCAAGCTTTGACATAATTTATCACTACTCCACTGATTGTCTCTGGTGGTGTTCTATCATTCCAAGCTTTGACATAATTTATCACTACTCTACTGATTGTCTCTGGTGGTGTTCTATCATTCCAAGCTTTACATAATTTCTCACTAATCTACTGAATGCCTCTGGTGGTGTTCTATCATTCCAAGCTTTGACATAATTTATCACTACTCCACTGATTGTCTCTGGTGGTGTTCTATCATTCCAAGCTTTGACATAATTTATCACTACTCTACTGATTGTCTCTGGTGGTGTTCTATCATTCCAAGCTTTACATAATTTCTCACTACTCTACTGATTGCCTCTGGTATTGTTCTATCATTCCTAGCTTTACATAATTTCTCACTAATCTACTGAATGCCTCTGGTGGTGTTCTATCATTCCAAGCTTTGACATAATTTATCACTACTCCACTGATTGTCTCTGGTGGTGTTCTATCATTCCAAGCTTTGACATAATTTATCACTACTCTACTGATTGTCTCTGGTGGTGTTCTATCATTCCAAGCTTTACATAATTTCTCACTACTCTACTGAATGCCTCTGGTGGTGTTCTATCATTCCAAGCTTTGACATAATTTATCACTAATCTACTGATTGCCTCTGGTGGTGTTCTATCATTCCAAGCTTTGACATAATTTATCACTACTCTACTGATTGTCTCTGGTGGTGTTCTATCATTCCTAGCTTTACATAATTTCTCACTAATCTACTGAATGCCTCTGGTGGTGTTCTATCATTCCAAGCTTTGACATAATTTATCACTAATCTACTGATTGCCTCTGGTATTGTTCTATCATTCCAAGCTTTGACATAATTTATCACTACTCTGGTGGTGTTCTATCATTCCAAGCTTTGACATAATTTCTCACTATTCTACTGATTGTCTCTGGTGGTGTTCTATCATTCCAAGCTTTACATAATTTCTCACTACTCTACTGACTGCCTCTGGTGTTTTCATAATTCTTCTACAAAATAACATCTGTGGTTACATTAATCATCATCAGCATCATCAATTTCTACCTCTGGCATTAAGCGCTGTGGGAAGGAACAGTTTGTGATCCACTGCTTGATAGCCAGCAATGGGTAAGGTCATTCTGTTTCGATGCAGACACACTTTAATGTCATCAGTCCATCTCCTAGGGTGACCTCTTGCTTTCACATCAGATCATTTCATGTGCAGCACCTGCACTTGTAGTTGTTCTGGCTGCATTCTTACTATATGACCAAACCATATGATCTTCTGTTACTCAACGAATCTGCTCAATGGTAGTGTTCCCACAGTCAGTCTGATATGAGTAATGTCATTTCTAGCTTTGTCTCGTATAAATATTAGCCACACACACACAAAAAACCAATTCCAACACACAGAAATACAAAAACACCTGTAATATATTGACAAACTTGACAAAGTTTCATTAGACAAATATATTCTAACAAAACACACGACAGCTTGATAGAAACTGCACAAAAGCTGCAGCAATTGACAGAATTGACTGAATATACATATATGTCATTATATGAGATCATACAGTACATATATGGCACACGCATAGCAAATTGTTCTCAAATTATATGGATTCCCCAAAAAATATTTCACAAAACATGGTTAGCTCTTTCAGTGCCAACCAGCTCACTGTACGTTTCTTGGTAACTCCAAACATATGTGGTTTTCTTGACCTTTTCTACTACAGAGAGAAGTTAGGTTTGTTACCCTTTGTATTGGAATTATAAGTTTAACTACTTCTGTTCAGTGGGAGCTCCCATGATGCAGCAGCTAGACGCTTGTCTGTTGTGGATTTCAAGCTGTACGATAGACATGGCCAATAAGACAACTTTTTTGGGGGGTGCCTAATTGACCATGTTCTTAGTGCACTTGTATTCATGGCGAGGCGCAGACGCTGTCTGGAGGTGACAGGTTCAATGCCCGGCACGGTAACTATAGCTTTCGAGTTTTATGTTGTCTAGTGTGTTCTATCTTTCTACTTCTTTCTATGAGAGCCGATCATTACACTTTCTGTTACTTGATTAATTCACAATATTTAACGGCCTCAAAGGTTCCCCCTCTGTTTATTAATAGACGCTTGTCTGCAGGGCAGACTCACGGGTCAAGGTCCTAGGAGAGCTGAACTTTCCCCCCAAAAGTGACACTGACTCCCTTAAATGGTTAGTAGGCAGAGTCAAGGGAAGCAAAAGTGGCCGGTTTGATGCTGACCACATCACCTACCTAGTGCTGACTAGACTATAAAATTAACGTCTAGCCCTATATGCCCAAAAGGGTGGAAAAGGGTCCTTTTACTTCCGCTCTGAAGAGTCTCTGTTGAACCAGTTCAGACCTAAGTACTTATAACCTGTCAGCACAATTCTTTGAGAAAAAAAGGAGTTAAAGTAACAACTGCTTGGGACTGAAGGACTTAATAAATACCACAGCACAGTAGAGGCGGCTAGAGAATGCAAAACAATAATGAACAATGCTGGATCATTGAATCTTTGATTAGTTCTTTTCATTTGATAAACAAAAGATAACATATCTCTTCCCAGGTCCAGCTGGCCTAAAATGGGTACCAGGAAATGTCCTGGGAAGTAAAACCTGCTGGCATGATCCTGACACCCCCCCCCCCCCCCCATGAGTGCTGATTGGTCTATTATTCAAATACAGGTATAGCCCTATTTGCCTAATGAGACAAAGCTGTGAAATCTCACATGTACAATACAAAATTATGTAATTTCTAAAGTTACAATACCACAAATTATCAAATGTTGACGTAAACCACCCAGACAACTTAATTCTGTCAGTCCCAACCAACGCACAGCGTGTTATTAGCTGTTACCCATGTTTATCAGTGCAGCACCATGTCTGTTATATCTGTCATGGTAGGTCAGTGTGTGCTGAACAAATATGGCTAAATGTGTTACTATGCAGCACAATGTATGTAGTGTGACACTAACACATGATACTTTGATGCTGTGGTTATTGTGCCAGACTGGGCTTCATCTGTGATATTATCAGGAGCTGAGATAGTTTACATAGAGAAATACTGTTCAGATCAAGAATCTTCTTCACTGAGGCACATTTCTATAACAGACTACTTGCAGCTGGCACTATAAGCACGGCAACGCTTTACTGGCTACTGATGGAGGAGACAGAGCATGTATGCCAATATCCTTAGTGCAGGGATGTCAATTCTTGATTAATTCATTTATAACGGACCTCGGCTCTCAGGTCAACTTAGCCTACAACTGATTTTTTTTTTAAATTTGTGGAGGTCAGTCATTAATTTGAGTTGGTGCAGCTAAATGTACATCTTTGTTGAAATGTAACCCAGGACCCTGGCAGTTCTAAAACAAATGTATATGCCAGACAGGACTGGTGGTTTTGGTAATTTGGACTAACAAGGAGCCAGGTGAGATGGCATGTTGATTCTTGATTAATTCATGCCTGGAACGAACAGGAGGCAGTTCTGGATAGTATATCAGAAAGGGATTTTTGGGGGGGAAAAGGGGGGGGGGGGGGGGTGTTGCAAGCTAGTTTTTATTCCAGTTCCTAGTTAAACAAGCACAGCCTATAATGCGGATGTGATCCGTTTCTTACCTGTGGATCGATATCCAAGGGATTGGCTGCCTATTAAATGGATATGTATACTGTTAATCTACTACAGAACAGGAAGAATTCATGTGGCCAACTTGATAATAGTATTTATGGTCTGTGGGAAGTCTGACAGGTGGAGTATCAACACTTTTTTTTTCTAGGAAAAGAAAAGGCCTGAGTACAACTCTGAAATAACCTGCGGTTGAAGATGGGTAAGGATGCTGTAAAAGGGATGAAATAACACTGATACGCACACAAGAATATTAAAGATACACGAAACATATTAAACTTAAACAACAAACTTGCATGACCAATGACAATATAAAATTGTTATTATAAAGTGATATATTCTGTTTAAAATGTATATGTAAAATATTTTTGCTAAATTTACTATTATATACAAATGATGAAAGGGGGTTCAGGGAGCTACTAGCAGCAGAAGCAGAACAAAAACATACTTGACATTTACGTAATCATGGTCGATGTCACTGCCCACTGAGCATTCCCACGTGTGCCCAGTCCTCAGATGCAGCAGCCACAATGCTATCGGTTCCCTTATGAAGATGACTTTAATATCTTCTATCTTGATCTCAAAAGGTGACTTTGACATGCTTTGCCTAGGTTCACTCCCAGGTCATGTAGTCAGGTCAGCATGGGAGACTAATCTCTATTACTAACTAGTCCATACAGCATCGATTTTATCAGCTCTGCCCATGTTTCTTCTGGCTTGCCAACAAGCCTGCTTGCTCACTGCCTTTTACAGTATATCAAATATGCTTCACTCTTCCAGTCCTCGTTTTCAAAAAGACAACCCAAATGAAAAAATAACCACAGTGAAACAGAATCAGTTTCTTACTTTCAAAGTGGCAACATAAGATGTTGCTGTAAATTAAAATATTAGGCCAGATGTCTTCAGTATGTTCAGACCAATTGTAACTGAAATAATAACACACCACCTGGTGCTAGATACACAGAGGTGGGTTGGTTGGGACAGAAACAATGGTGCAGTGGGTAATAACCAGCGGATCTGGCTGATACTCAAAGCTCACAGGAAAGGCAAGACACACACAATCAGACCACGCATGGCACCATCAGTAGTGGAACTTTACACTGGCTGCTGAAGAGAGGGATGAGGCGCTTATGGGAATGTCATGAGTGTTGTGATGTTGGTTCTGTACTCAAACCAATTCAAGTAAGCCTTACAACAGAGATGTGTCCAGTTCAAGTCTCAATGTAACCACAATATTCCAAAAACAGAAAGACAACAGTTGAAGCAAAAAATAAAAACACTAGGTAAAACAGCCACAATTAACAGACTGAAAGAATTTTACACAAATTACCGATGTCATATTTTCCCTTCTAATCAATGCCACGGAAAGATAAACTCTGACTTTGCCAGCACAACACACACACAAGCTTCCTGGCAAGAACAAATCAGTGAAATGTGTTTATCGTTGAGGTATAAAGCCAGACAACTCAACCTGCAGATGACCAGTCTATTACAAAAACAGCATGACTGTGAGATGCTGCCTTAGCAACCTGATGCAGTAATTAAACACTAGCCAAGTTGCCCAATTTGATGATGACCAGTTAATCACAAAGAGAGAACGACTGTTAGAACAACTTGGTGTAATTTGAGCATTTATTGACCAGCAGTAGACAGTAACACTTGGTGTAACAATATGAGGGTTACTAGAGTGCATGGCTAAATGAGGAACATCTAGAGTTGGACTATAGACTAAGATCATGTCTAGAGTTTTAAAGCTGTTCACAACAAATTGTGTAGACATTTAAACCTACTCACTACACATGGAAGGTAGAGATTTAAACCTACTCACTACACATGGAAGGTAGAGATTTAAACCTACTCACTACACATGGAAGTTAGAGATTTAAACCTACTCACTACACATGGAAGGTAGAGATTTAAACCTACTCACTACACATGGAAGGTAGAGATTTAAACCTACTCACAACACATGGAAGGTAGAGATTTAAACCTACTCACTACACATGGAAGGTAGAGATTCAAACCTACTCACTACACATGAAAGGTAGAGATTTAAACCTACTCATAACACATGGAAGGTAGAGATTTAAACCTACTCACTACACATGGAAGGTAGAGATTTAAACCTATTCACTACACACGGAAGGTAGAGATATAAACCTTTTCACTACACACGGAAGGTAGAGATTTAAACCTATTCCATACACATGGTTAAATCTATTCACTATACATAGAAGGTAGATTTAAACCTATTTACTTAATACGGTGAGTAGAGACTCAAGCTTGTTTACTACACATGGCTACAGGAAAACAATGAGTAAGGTAGATAGGTAGGTAAAATATAATATCTTGGCCACCTTAAAAGATTAAATGAATCCGTAACACAATCAAGGATCAATGGGCTCCTGTGATGAGGCATGTACTTGGCGGAGTCCACCTCATCTCCAAGCATACGACAAATACTCTGCTAGGGATAGCTTTCTAAAGCAGACGCTAAACGAAAATTCAAAGTTAATGCAGTTCAAATAAAGACACATCTGGTTTTGAGTTTTAAAAAATACGTTAGTGGTAAAAGCACACCAAAAGTCAATGCTCATTCAAGGACGTAAAATAGACATACATATAACAGATAGACAAACAACAGATAAACATACAATTAGCAGTAGTTGAAAATTAACATACTGACATAAGCACAAAAATTATAATCTTAAATAAAGAATGTGTATAGCCACATGAAAAATCATGGAAAAATAAGGCTTGCAGACAAACAGCAGTAAAATAAATAGCACACATTGGCAAAAAAGCTGCAAGATTTAAAGTTATAATAAAACATTATACAGACTGTTTTTATCATCATCATCACAAAGTGCCTTGCCGAATGGCATGGATGATGATACCTCTCCACAACTTGCAATTTCTAACAGCATTCATATCTCCACATCTGTCAGGAACCTTCTAGCATTGTCTTCCCCTATTTCTCTTTCCACAAATCTTTCAGTGGTCAGCTGTTCTAGTATCTGTCTTCTCATAACAGGGCTAAATATGATGACTGTATTCTTCTGATGTTTGTGAACAGTTGTGTTCTACCCCTCGCCTCTTTCAAAACATCCAAGTTCCTTTACTTAATGTACAAGGAATCGTAAAAATTATTCTGTAAAACCACAGAAATAGGTTCCATCAATTAGTCAGTCAGTATGTCTTTTACAGAACGTCACTCTCCTCACGGCACCCCTGAAAGTCCCTCTTTCTCCAGCCAATTCTCCAACTGGGTATGCCTTCATAGCCAGTACATCTTCAATGTCCTATATCCCCATTCACAGCGGTCGGCCTCTGCCACGTTCTTCAGACACTGTACCCTCTGTCACATTCTCCAGACACTGTACCCTCTGTCACATTCTCCAGACACTGTATCCTCTGTCACATTCTCCAGACACTGTATCCTCTGTCACATACTCCAGACACTGTACCCTCTGCCATGTTCTCCAGACACTGTACCCTCTGTCACATTCTCCAGACACTGTACCCTCTGCCATGTTCTCCAGACACTGTACCCTCTGCCATGTTCTCCAGACACTGTACCCTCTGCCATGTTCTCCAGACACTGTACCCTCTGCCATGTTCTCCAGACACTGTACCCTCTGCCATGTTCTCCAGAAACTGTACCCTCTGCCACGTTCTCCAGACACTGTACCCTCTGCCATGTTCTCCAGACACTGTACCCTCTGCCATGTTCTCCAGACACTGTACCCTCTGCCATGTTCTCCAGACATTGTACACTGTCACGTTCTCCAGACACTGTACCCTCTGCCACGTCCTCCAGACACTGTACCCTCTGCCATGTTCTCCAGACACTGTACCCTCTGTCCTGTTCTCCAGACACTGTACCCTCTGTCATGTTCTCCAGACACTGTACCCTCTGTCATGTTCTCTAGACACTGTACCCTCTGTCACATTCTCCAGACACTGTACCCTCTGCCACGTTCTCCAGACACTGTACACTCTGTCATGTTCTCCAGACACTGTACCCTCTGTCATGTTCTCCAGACACTGTACCCTCTGTCACATTCTCCAGACACTGTACCCTCTGTCACGTTCTCCAGACACTGTACACTCTGTCACATTCTCCAGACACTGTACCCTCTGTCACGTTCTCCAGACACTGTACCCTCTGTCATGTTCTCCAGACACTGTACCCTCTGTCACATTCTCCAGACACTGTACCCTCTGTCACGTTCTCCAGACACTGTACTCTCTGTCACATTCTCCAGACACTGTACACTCTGTCACATTCTCCAGACACTGTACCCTCTGCCACGTTCTCCAGACACTGTACCCTCTGTCACATTCTCCAGACACTGTACCCTCTGTCATGTTCTCCAGACACTGTACCCTCTGCCACGTTCTCCAGACACTGTACCCTCTGCCATGTTATCCAGAAACTGTACCCTCTGTCACATTCTCCTGACACTGTACCCTCTGTCATGTTCTCCAGACACTGTACCCTCTGTCACATTCTCCAGACACTGTACACTCTGTCACGTTCTCCATACACTGTACCCTCTGTCACATTCTCCAGACACTGTACAGTCTGTCACCGTTCTCTCCAGTCCCCCATGGTGCTTGATATGTAAACAAATACCTTAGCATTCAGGAGAGGATGCTGTTTATGAGCCAGTTTTCCTTGATGGTCAGTCATGCAAACAGAAACAGGTTACTAATCTTCATTAAGCTCCAACAGCAGCATGGACTTTTAAGCTTTATCATAGTGCTGGGTCATGAAGGTGTTTGAGACAACAAGTATGCAGATGACCTGGCTGACACAATGGTTTTACACTGGACAGAAGGGCAATATCATTAATTCCATAGGAGATGAATATCACAAAACTGTTACAGTGATAATCATGACCTTGTATCCTTGTCCAGGCTGCTGGATATGATGGTACAACCTGGAGCTGTCACTAAGGACCAAGACATTTGATTAATCTAAATAGAACTGGTGTGATCACTTGTGGAGCTATTGAGAAGATCAGGACATCAATTGAACTGTCCACAAGTGCTGTGATGATAGTCCTCACCAACTACTAATGAGAACAGGCCATCAGTGCAGATATTACCTCTAGTTAAACCTGTGCTGTAATACTTCCATGTTTCTGTTGACAAATGATATCATCACCAGGTACTGTGTCTTTGCGCAGAATACTGCTCCCACCAGGGGAGACTTGAAACACACTTGCCGATTCACCTGCCTCAGTATTTCCCCAGACACCTCATGTTATGCCACAGGATACATCCGTGACCTGCCAGACATGGCCAGCAGACACAAGATGGTCCAGGTGAGGGCATGCCCAGGTGTTGCTGCCAACATAACCCATCCACTGCACAGCTGCCTAGGGGTGGAGGTAAGTGCCATAATAGAAGGCGGTCCTGGGCGGTGGAAGCAGAGATAC